TCTTTATGAGGAGATATCATCATTTAGGATTGACATATGTCAAATTCCCTCGTCAAGCATGGGCACTGCTTACGTTTGCATAGAGGTGACCTAAGAACGCTTATGTTTCTCTCCTTTTTCTTACTTTTGCGATATGTGAGTTGTCCCTGTACATTATTTCAACCGACTCTAACTGATTAATGTTTTATGTACTCTATTTAGCCTGGCTCTTGTCAATTTAAGACTTTTCCCCACTAAAATCCATTCTCTAGACAAGTGAATGACTGTGTCTATATACCTTTCGTCCATCTCGACGGTCAATTTTTTTCATCCCCATCACGTAACTATGTCATTTGTGTTTACTCATCCCTCTTTCTCTCATTCGTCATCGTGATTTGTAGTCTTTTTGCATAAAAAGTGATTTCATACGATTTGAATTTTCTCTTCTATCCCATCCTATACAAGCATTCAACTCTCTCTTTGCCTTTCTCGTCTTTCTTCCCATTTTCATCATTTCAGCCAACATTCTAGGTCGGGCTTCTTCTCCTCGGCTTGCCATCGGCCTGATTGGCTGTCTTGCCTCTTGAGTGGAACGCCACCAGCAATCGGGATGCCCGGAGGTTCTCCAGCCGGTCGACCTCCAGTCGCTCTCGCGCCAACTCCGCCCTCATTTCCACCCACCCAGTCTGAAAACTGGCCCTCCAAAGGTGTACAAGCTGACGCTCAGACAGACGGACACAGACAGGCAGTTCAACCAAATCACTACTCGGTCATTCATCTCAGAGCGGGATGCGCCAGATACACCAACGTCAACACCGTTGACTCTGCCATGGAGGTGGTTACGCCATCGGCTTCACTGGTCCCCCAGCATTCCGCCAAGCCAATTACTCCTCCATTCTGCTGAAGTCCACTTCCCTCTGCCTTTTCTCCTGTCTCAGCTAGTATCTCCGGTATCGGGGAATGTCCCTTGAAGTTTATGTCATCTTCTCTTTGATCGACAAGTCGTCTTATTCGGAGCAACATTTTGGCCTCAAACTGACCACTTAGCTGAAGTTGAGTTCCTTTGCATTTGTTTCGTGAATTCAGGCAGGCATACGCACAAATGCATACATGTATGCATGCCTATTGACAACCATACGCATTTGTCCGTATGATGGTGCATATGATTAGTTGTGAGTGCATGTATGTGTTTTTCTGTATGCTTGCACTTATGGGTGTACATGTTTGTATGAATGCATGTATCCGTGTTTAGCAGATGCATATTCGCTCAGCAGTATTATAGCTATCATAAGTTTGAGTTATAAGCATCTAACGCTTTACGGCAAACTCACTTTTGCCATACAAATATTTCTATTCTATACTTACTTCCTGTTAGCCTTTTTTGCCTTATCTCAGTCCCGCTTCTTTGCTTTTCTTTGAATTCTGATTCAGCTAAATGCTCTAGTCTGACGCCTCTCACAGTACTTGCTTTATTCAAGGCAGACTGTCCCGTGAAGTTGGGTCTTTATGGGGCTCCAGAAGAAAGGAAATAATCATAGACTTGATGCAGAGACAAGCAGAAAAGTAAACTAATGCGTGAACACCAGTTGAAATAGGCACATTTGAAAAATTTTGCTGCTAAAGTACCGGAATGCACTGTCATACGGACTTGAAAATTCCCATGTAAATCTCTCTATTGTCTGTCAGCATGCCAATATTTGTTTGTGTGATCCATTTAGAGTCAAGTGGCATGTCGGCTAAGTCGTGTTCTGGTCTCGACACTTTGATACCCACTTATACTCCCCCAGTTCGCATCAAACCGGGCCATTCAGCCTCAAGTTGTGTCTCACTTGGTGTACGTGTGCAATGCTTTGTGTTTTATGCCTATTTTCACAGATTTATGTACCAAACGCACTGTCAAGCATACACGAGGCCTCCGAACCGAAGTTAAGACTTCACACGCCGACCCACAGTTCCGTGCGCTCCTCTTCTTTCCATCAACCTAGATGAGTTCTCCTCCATCTCCACCTTTTGAGGGATCTCGACTATCATAATGCTTGATCCTAAACCATAATTGTCTCTACGCCACCTTCCTATCGGGACTGTCCACAAGTTCTTTTGGCTCTTAGAGACTGGATGAAAAATGGGCCTCTCTCTCTTCCAGTTTTTATGTACATATAGTGCTCAATTCTAAGTGATATTTAGTCAAGCTTAAGATAACCTTTGGCAGTTGTTGTTCAACTAACTAGCTTTGGTACTACTAGCAATGTACACTTTCATCTGTTTTGCACATATGGTTAAACTAAGTCACCAACCGAGTCTGCAATCGCCTGAGGCTACATGTCGTGGAATTTTGACCATAGGCCCAGTTTATACAAATTCTGTCGAAATCTGTCAAAACCATGATGTGCAGAGCTTAATCGGCGTCAATCAATCGCTGGAGCGATGAGAGGCCTGTGTCAAGTTGGACTCGATCAAAACGTTGCTATCCGTTGTGAAGTTTTTTCGCCCCACTCTCCAAACTTGGCTGCAGTGTTTACGCGTCGCTGCCTACACAAAAGCACCATTTAATTGCATCTTCAGTACCCCAGCCTTCCCACTTCATTAGCCGATGCAGCATCCTAAGCCGGGACATCACGATTCGCTCAGGACTAAACTCTGTTTGCCATCTATCGTGCGAATATTAGAAAAAATAACTAACAATATATTTGCTCAGCATACACTTTCTGCTACTTCTCACTCCTTTCTTCGTCTCAAGTATACAAGCCTTACTCTCTTGTGTGTAGGCTTGCAGAGACTGTACATTTTCCCTAAAACTTGTCTGGCTGTCATACACTTTATTTCTCACTTGTCCTGAGTGCCTATTTGTCTGGTCGTAGACGCACCGAGACATATCAAGAGGAACTCTGACTCCGGCACACACACACACAAACACACACACACACACACACAAACCTTGGGCAAGCATATGAAAATTCAGATATGATTAGACAAATTGATTACAATCCGTTTTTTATCCGTTTCTTTTATCTGAGAGGGCGGAGGAATAACTCAGAAATTCTGGGCAATACCCTTCAATAAAGAATACGTTTCAGACAAAGTGACTAGCTATTTCTTATTAATTTGTGCAGCAGTAGTGTACGCGAAATAATTTTGTACAAATAAATAATATATATAAATGCTTTTAATTATTTACAATGTTTACGGAGGATCGAGCAGATGCTCATTCAAAAATGTCATTAGTTAATTCTGCAAATATTTCGTTTATCCCATCTAATCCGGCTTTCTTTTGAACAGTTTGCCACACCCTTATTGTATA